CTTAAAAGAATCATTCTGAGCACAGTTCGTGATTTGTGTTTCTGGGGTCTATTTATCTACAACCTAATAGTGTCGTACACATGCAGGTGCTCAAATATTGGTAGCACTTGTTGGCAACTTTGCTAACAGTGTTCCGAGAGGTACGCCTGGATAGGCCTTTTGTTCACAGAGGCCTGTTTGTTGGTATGTAAGGCACACATAGATAGGTATGTGTTATGCAGCTACCAGGAAAGGACAGGAGGTGCTTGGGTTGTGCATGGTCTTGTTTTTCTGTTGGAACCGAGTCCTGATTTGCTTTAATTAGTCCTCTAACAATCTACAAAGGTCAGTGCCAATTGCCTGCTCATTTACATTTGTAATTATGATGGCTTCTGATTACATATTCCTTGTCTTAGTCCTTCGTCTAAGTACATGCTAGCGTGTCCTCCCCTCCCCCTCTCCCACATTATTCACACACTCACACATACTCACACACACTCACCTCCATCTATGTGAAAGCAAAAGATCTGACCCCTCCTACAAGAAACGTTTGTGGGGAGGACCCCACCCACAGTGGGCCTTGAGCCTCTGTGAGGGCAAACCAACGATTGCTTCTAAGTTGGGCATCTAACAAAGCCAGAGTCTGGGAAATTGTGTCAATACCAGGCAAGAAATCTGAGAGCCATTATGTAGAAGCCTTCTAGAACTGGGTAATCACAGGCAATTAAACTTTTCTGCTTTGCTCTGCAAATCTATGTTAATGACCTGGCCTGTTGCAGGGTGGACAGGACTGCTTGGCTACCATCAGGCTCTCACTGGCGGTCTGGAATGGATGGTCCCTCTGGGGAGGATGTGACATCGCCAGATGGGTCACTTGAGCTGTCTGTGTGGCTTGTAACCTCCCCCTGAACTCTGTCTCTCTGTCTGCTCCGGGGAAGCCGGGTCTGCATCTGGACATGGGACTCTGAGAGACGACTACGTTGTACTGATTCCTGCTCCGTCAGCGTTTCCCATTAGACGTCTGCCACTCACTAGATGCTTTAGTTTTATGTGCTAATCAGAGTTAACCTGGTTCTTGGTTTGATTTTGTTTGTGTTATTTCAGCACAGAAAGCATCTGGGCGGGGCAAGGCACCCGCTAGACATTGCCCTGCAGGTGTTAGCCATGTCTCCATGCCACCCACACCAGTGGGCGCCTCCTACCACAAAGTCTAGTGCTGCCCCTCTCAAGGGAGGGATGGTATTAAGTGGACAGCAATGAAAAGGAGAAGTTACCTGCTGATGGGTCCTAGTGGTCACGGGAATGAGAAGACGCATGGTGTGTGCCCTGAGAGTGAGCATGGGGGGACAGGTCCCATTTACAGATGTGAGTAGGCCGGCAGACCACCCCAGTTGGTGAATCAGAGACCACAAACCCCTGAGGGGAATCCTGGAATGGGATTCCTCACTAAAAGCAGCTGTTGAACCATTTCTCCTCCAAAGGTCCCAAGTTACTTATGAAAGAAACACCCCAAAAGCTACACATTTGACTTATAAGCAAATACTGGCACCAAGCACGTAGTTGCTGTGGTTGGGTTGGGGGTTGGAGATTCTGGACCTGGATTTTATTTGAGGGGAGGGGCCCTGTGGCAGGAAGTAGCGGTCATCATTGTCCTTCCGTGAGATGTGCAGTCCCTCCTCCAGCCTCGTCCCTGACCTTGGTCGGGGGCGGGAGGAAAATAGGGCATGCCTCACTTCGCTTACAGAAATAGCTCAAAGGCTTCTCCTCAGACTCAGAGATGTTAAGGAACCCCTTCAAACTGTGACCCAATTATGAGGATTACAGTCCCAAATGACTTTGCTAACTTTTAGTAGCAGAGCAAAGTTTTGTGACCTCCCAAATTTGCCGAAGATCTGCCCACACATCCCTGGTACCTGGGTTCCCGGGTCACCACAACTCTCTGTCTGCCTGTCCAGTACAGTAGCCACACGCCACTGTTTTAAGTTTCAGTATATTAAAATCAAATAAAAATGTAAAATTCAGTTTCGCCCACCTACTTGCCACATTTCCAGTGCTCAGTACTTGCATGTGGTTTTTGGCTACCACAGCGATTAGTAAAACAGTTCCAGCATTCATCAGCACTGAAAGTTCTTTTGAACAATGTATCCATTTCCTAGAACTGCTGTAATGGAGACCAGGCGCTGCATGGCTTTAAACAACAGGTATGCAGTCTCTCTCTCAGTGTTCCGGAGAATGAAATACAAATCAAGGTGTCGGTAGCAAGGGCTCCTTCTAGAGCCATCTGCCCCATGCCCTTCTCTCTTAGCTTCTGGAGGTTTCTGGAAAGCATTGGAGTTCTTTGGGCTTGTAGATGCTCCACTCCACTCTTGTCTATTTCACATGACCTTCTTCCCTCAGTTCTTATCTCTCCTTACCCTTCTGATAAGTACACTAGGCTTAGGACCTACCAGTATAACTTCATCTTATTTTAACTAATCCTGGTGTGGCGCTGCAGCATAATGCACTGGACCGCAAGGTCAGTTTGAGCTGCAACGTTGGCAGTTTAAATCCACCAGCTGCTCCTGGGGAACCCCTATACAGGGTCGCTGACAGTCAGCTCCAACTTTACGGCATTTCACAGAAACAACAATGTATCTGTAAAGACCTTATTTCCAAATGTGATGACATTCTGAGGTTCTGGGTGGGCCTGGATTTGGGGGGACACTGTGCCACCCACTAGACAGCGTTGGTGTAGGTCCTCAGTGGGATCTCTAGATGTCTTGGTCGCCCAGTGTAGCTGCCTCTTCCGTTTGCATTTTTAAAGAAGTATGTCGGTCAGCAGCCACAGGTTTTCTTCTGGCCTGGAAGAGTTGTGTTTTTTTTGTTGTTTTTTGTTTTTTGGTGTTTCCAGCTCTCTCCTTCCTTTTCTCAAATCTTCTTAGAATGGGAGAAACATGTTTTCAAATAGGCATTTAATTTTGGTTTTGCTACTTGATCCTTATTCCATTAACAACTGAAATGTCTTTGTAACGATGTATTTTTCCGAGGGGACATTAAAAGGATTTTTCATAGCTTTATGTCACAAGTCTGTCTGAAGACCCTTTGTGTGTATGTTAGTAGGAAGGAAGTGCTTCTTGCTTATAAAAGGTTCCTGGCCTCTGTTCTCTTTAGAATTTGAACACAGTGGACAGTCTCACATACGTGGTCATCTTGGGATTGAGCTGTACGTTGTTTACACCCAATATTTACTCCAAACTTTTCATTCTTTTGTAGTCAAAGAAGCTTGGGTGCATTTTTGTTTCGCTGTTCTCGTCATTTGAAATGTCTGGATTTAGAACAAGCTTTTCCTTATAGACTTTCTGACATTGGAGGCCAGATTCTTACTTGTTTTTCCATAGCTATTTTGGGTCTGGAAGTAGAGTATTCCTTCTCTTGGGTGTGGGGTCAAGGGGCGGGGGTGGAGAGGCCTATATGTACCCTTCTGGAAGTGAGCCCCTTAGGATTGTCTGCTCTTCACATGTTCCTCACTGTAGACCTTTGAATGTGAAGACACAGAATTGGCTTCTTGGAAGAGGATTCCTCAAGAAGCCTGAAACACTCAGAGATCTTTGCTAGGACAGGCAGAAGGTCAGAACACTTTGTTGGCTGAGCCCATGTCATGGGTGATTTTTCAACTGGCATATAGCACCTGCTCAAAGCTCCCTTCTGGTGAACCACAATGGTGTAGCCAGCCCCAAGGAAACTAGGGACACATTTTTACATGTGCCATTTGACAGCGTCAATAAGATTTGCCCTTGATGAGGCTGCTCCAATAGGCTGCAGTATATTAGGTTCCTGGGGAAAGGGAGAGGGGCTGATAGTAATAGTGACTCACTCCTGCCTCCTGGTGCTTTTAAGAACTAAGCAAAACTCATTGGATTTTTCATGGTGTTTGAGAGGCCCCCAGAGCCTTAGCATACTCTGAGACCTGTTCAGGTGTGGAATTCTATATGGTGTGAAGTGGTTGGGCTTTCATCCAAAGGGTTTCCAGTTGCTGGAAGTACCTGTAGGACTTGTTTTTCCTCAGAGTTACCTCACTCTGTCACGTACTCCAGGTTTGATATTATACAAAGGTTCCAGTGTGTATGTTTTTACCCTTCATTACCTTTTTTCAGGGCCTGTCCCATGCATGGCGCTAATGCAGGTATGCCCTGTTTCCCAAACTTGGCCCCTCCCAGATGCAAGCCTGGGGTGCTGGCATCGAGGCCGGTCACCAGAATGACCTTTGTTTGCGGCAGGAGCACAAAGCAAGGGCACTGTTACCTCTTCATCGTTAAACAGACAGCTCACTAGTACCCACCATTCCAGGACCGTCTGAGCTCCATCACCCCCTGCATGGCTTCTTCTTGTTAGGTGCTGTTGAGTCCATTTCAACTCATGTCAAGCTTTCATAGGGTTTCTGTGCAGCATCTGGTGGGTCTGCACTGCCAACCTTTGAGTAAGTCAGTCCAGTGTTTATCCTGCAGCATGGCTGACGTACTGGGCGGAGCTGATAGACAGCATTCCCTTTGCTGTAGTCGGTTCTCAGGGACAGCACTGCCCTAGACCCCAGCAGAGCTGGGACTCCCAGCAGGCCTAGTTCTCTTCCCACTGCTTGCTGCCAGCTTGCTGTGGACTGACACGCGCCTGCAAGGGTCAAGTACTGCTTTGCCCCTGGCATGGGATACTCTGTGAACCAAGGCTGCTGCTCTCCAGTGGGTTCCACCTCATAGCAGCCTACAGGACACTGTGGAAAGTCACCTTAGCTTTTAGTCTTTATGGAAGCAGCTCTTTCTGCTACCGAATGATCAGCGGCTGAGTATACTTAGTCCATTGCTTTATTCTTAAGCCTAGAAATGGAAACATCTTGAGACCAGGGCTACAAACAGGACCAGGAGTTTTCTGTGACTCTCCCTCTATCAGAGTATAAACGTCATTGAGAATTGGGTATGGCTTACATGGTCTTTTTAACATGCAAAACCCTTTTGCAATTTCCTGTGTGAGTCAATTCCAAAGTTGTATAGGAACCTCTACGGAGTGGTGAGGGTGAGTCTGATGTGGGCAGCTTGGTTGGTTCCTTGCCCATCAGCAGCACTGAGACCTTGTGAGGAGTTCTTGTGAAGAGAACAGGGCTTCACTATCTACTTTGCAAACTTGTATACTCCTGGGCATTTTTATGGGATTTTTAGTAGATGTTAATTGGAACTTGTCTTGATGGGTCTTTTTATCAATAATATCCACAAAGGCTGCATAGGCAGTAAAAATAGGAAATGTTCTAACCAAGGGCCCTTTTTTATTATCCTGATTCTGCGTATGGTACATATGCAGGTAAGGAAACGTGCCACGTCTGCATTCTTCACATGTCCAGTTTGGTGACATTATCTAAAGAAAGGGGGAAAGAGAAGGGGCTCAGACACTAATGAAGACTTGGGAAATGAAGGGGCACAGAGAAGCAAGCTGTGATAAGAAAACAGTCCAATATACCCACTCCTCACTTACGAACACGGTAGATTCCAAAGTCTAGGTTATTAGGTGAAATGGAGAATTACCACGTCAGATCACACAATGGCAGCAGATCAGACTACATCATTAAAACTTGCCAAATTAGATCCCTAATTACATCATTGCATAACTCCCACACTCCTGAGAACCATGGTCCAGCCAAGTTGATACCTAAGAGAGCCGGTGGGATTGGAGCAGATGAGGAAGGTATTTTATATGATGTGTTTCTTCTGTACTGGTCTCTCCAGGGAGCTGACAGTGGAGCTGAACTGGAAACACTTGGTCCCTGCAGAGGGTCCAGCCAGTGGAGATACTTTTGGTGTTTGGAGAAACGGAAAAGTGGGCAGATGGTTGGCAAGAAGTCCTAGGAGATGTGACCCAAGGAGGTATAGCCTGGAACCTGGGCAGGGTGTTCAAAAGCCTTGGCTTTTACTCCTCATCCAGATGAGAAGGCATTGGAGCAGTCTGAGCCCAGGAGGCGGGCAGTGTGACTTACACCGTAGATTACTTTGGAGATTTGGCTTGTTCATGTTCTGTGGGTCACATGTGAATTGTTCACCCATGCAACCCCAAGATACAGGATGCTCTAGGACAAGTGGGAAGGCCAGGGAGTGTACACCGTGTGCCATCTCTAGTAACCTTGCTCATGGGGCCAATTTCAAGGAGAAGAAGGCTCTCGGTGACCCCAGACTAGGAAGAATCCACTCCCGTATTTGTCTGGGATCAGCACAGCTCTGTGGTGTTCTCTGCTTTAGCCCAGGGGCATCAGTTTTTTCAAACAAAATAATCCCTCCCTGATGACTCACTGCCTAAGTGTGAAGCACAGGAAAGACTTTTGTCCTTTGACTTTAGAATGCTTTGTCTCAGCTATGACATAAACACCAAATACAAAGAAAGAATGAGCAGCTAGCTCTAGCCAGGGTTAATGTTATGAATACGGAAGCCAGTGTAAATGCCCTAGGACGATCGTTCACGTTCCACAGAATGTCTTGGTATATGTATGGTCGCAATGTTTATTCCCAGGACAAGACTCTCATTTCACTTTTTGATACCATTATCCTAAATGATTACAGTGCCCTAATAACCCATAGGTCACCATCCCATCCCCAAATGGCTAATGTCCCACCGCTGGCTTCGGAGCTTCAGTGGCCTCACCAGGCAGGTGTGATGTGGTTCTGTGTCGTGTTGTCTTCTCTGTGTACAAGCACCAAGGCCCAGGCCGAGGCAAGGAGCTCCCTAGGACACAGAGACCAGCGGGACTGAGGCTCATTTCCAGCAGGACTGCAGACTGGGTTTCTTGGGGCTTTATAAATTTAAAATTTTTTTTTTTTTTTTTAGTCCACTTTTATTTTTGGTGGAAGATGGTATGAGGAACAGGGCTGCTGAAAGCTGGTATTATGCAGCTAACTGGGGAAGAATGGTTCTCTTTGAATATTATTCTGGGGCTGCTCCACCACCCCCCCACACCCCCCCATACACACACTCCAGAGTCCTTGTCCCTTCTGGATGGTTAGGCTTATGTTGAAAGACCCCTGGTGGGAATGATGTTAGTATGTCTGTTGTGAAGTGCCGTCGAGTCAGTTCCGACCCATAGCGACCCTGCATAGGGTTTCCGAGGAGCAGCTGGTGAGCTTGAACCCCCAACCTTGTAGTTCAAACGGCTTTGCAGTTGGTCACATTAACCAACAACACCACATCAGGACTCCTGAGAGGAAGTCAAAATGGAGAGCTGCAAAATCATGAAACCTTCATTAAACAAAGTATCAAAATGTGACTCTCTTGTTTCTCAACAATCTCCATCTACTGCCACACACTTCTCTAACTTCTCCTGGTCTGGTAGCTTTGAATCAGAACTGACTAACAGCACTTACAGACAACAAGACAACAACAACCTCTCCTGAAGAATTCTGTACTCTTCAATTTACATCATGTCACTGTGGCCATTTTGGAATCCTTGAGGGACTAAAATTAATTTCCTTTTCAATGTTCTGTGAGTTTAGGAACAAAAGAGGTCTCAGGGGGCAAGGTTTCCCCCCACAAAATTCTTATAGGGCAACCCTCACTATCTTGAAGAATGACCAGGTACATTGTTGTGATTTCTCGGTACAACTTTCCTGCAGTTTTCCATTCTCCTAAAACTTCTTCCTGTTTAGCCCCCATGATCATCCTGTGTCCTTTGAGGAAGGACATCCTGTGTCCTTTGAGGAAGGACATCCTGTGTCCTTTGAGGAAATCTTTACCCTTTGTTATTATGGTTGGTAAGTTCTGTGGAGTCAGTTCTAACTCATAGCTATCTTGTATAGGGTTTCTGAGGAGTGACTGATGAGTTTGAACCAATGACCTCATGGTTGGTAGTAGTCCAGTGCTTATCCTACAGTACCACACCAGTAAGAAAATTGTTGTTGTTAAGTGCTGTGGAGTTGGCTTCAATTCATAGCGACTTTGTATGGGGTTTCCAAAACTGTAGAAAAACGTCATCTTTTTCTTATAGTAAGAAAATAGATACCCACAGAAATAACTTAACTATCAAGATTACCCTTTGAAGTACCCAAAACAGTTGTCATAACCTTATAAACTGACTTCTTCTTTGACTTGAACTGGCCCAGTAGATCCCCTCAGAATCCACTGTTTTGATGGAACCTTTTTTTGAAGGAATCCTAATGAAACTCTGTGTATCGCTGAGAGAACTTGTCTGCAACCCTCCACTCATGACACAGATAAGTTTCATCATGTTTGGAATAAGCCTGAGAATGTGTGGACTGGGCCTCTCGTAGCAATACCGTTTGACTGACTCTCATACCTGTGGCTCCTTGGAATGAAGACATTGGTCACACTTGGCTGCCTTGTATGAGGACAAATTTGATTTCTTTTAGAAATCTGAGCACTGGCAACCCATTCTGTTCTCTGGGGGGAGGTAATTGGAGGGCGGCAGCAAGCTGTGTGGTTCCCATTTGTTTCCTCCTGGATTCGACCAACCAGCAGAAAAGAGATGATCTCTAAAGGATATGAAAGGTTTAATCATTTTAATTTTGTTTTTATTAAAGTTTGTCATAACTTTTCTCTCCCAATGTGTCTGGGTAGAACAAAAAGGGAGGTAGGAGAGATAATATAAATAGAGCATTTGGTTAATAAAAGTTGTTCAATAGGCAGTCCCTCTTGGGAAGGAAGTGGTTGGATGGTTGGGTACAAGCACGCCAACCAAAGGCGAACGTGGTGACAACTCATAGCTCCCTGACTGTATCCAGGAGACACGCATGTGAGGGGGCCCATGGTTTTCATTAAACCCAAGGAGAGGAAACCACAGTGTTGACATGCTCCACCTTGGTTCTCAAGCGAGACTGGATCCCTAAGTCAGTGCCAGCTTAGAACTGGCAGACAGTAGAGGTAGTTTCTTTTCAGTTGTTGAGGTCGTTTGTGTGTGTGTGTTTGTTATGAAAGAACAACACTGCAGTAAAAATAGTCAGGTTTTGGATTAAAAAAAAACAAACAAACTCCCCTGTTACTTACAATAAAACTGTGAGCAACTTTGTTGTTGCTGTTACGGGCCATCGAGTTGGTTCTGACCCATAATGACCCTGTATAGGGTTTCCAAGGTTGTAGATCTTTGAGGGAGCAGAAAGGCTCATCTTTCTCATGCGGGGAGTGGCTGGTGGGTTTGAACTGTCAGTCTTTTGGTTCGCAGCCCATTACTAACCAGACCCTAGAATAAGCAGAATTTTTGGCTCTGTTACCTTTGTTATTTACCTGCCTTCAGGCCAACCTTCATCCACAGCAACGTCAAGCACAATGGGACAGGCGGTTGCATAGCTTTGGTCAGCCCTGTAATTGGACAATTTAATGGCCCATTGAGTTGTTACGGGTGATTTTCAGAAACAGATCACCTGGTATTTCTTGTTAGTCCCTCTTAGTGCAAAAGCTCTGCTGAAACCTGCTGAACATGGTAGCATCACACAAGCCTCTGCTGACAGGTGAAGGCTGGACCTAAAGCCAGAAATCTGCCCACGACTCCCACGTGCAAGGCGAGAATTCACTCAATCGTCAAGGCACCCCTCAATTTCCTTTTAGGACATAAAGAAACCTTTTTATCAAAGTTGGTTTAGTTGTCAGAATAGCCTTGAAGAAATCACTAGTTTGATACAGTCTTCCCTCACTTCTGTTTTTAATAAAGAGGGCTGACGTTTTGGCATTTCGGCCTCCAGATGCAGTTGGATGTTGCATCACGTGATTTTTTATGAAATTTAGAATAAATTGTGATGAGATTATTCTAGGGTAATAACAAAGGGTTACATAGCCAACAATTCTGCTTATTCTAGGGTCTTTCTTAGCAATGGCCTGCGAACCAGAGGATTGTTCTGCTTTATAAAGGATGAGCAGTCTTTAGGTGTTTTTCATCTCGTTAACGCCGACTTAAGCTGGGGTACAGTGAACCCCGGAAGATACCACTGTGTCTGTTTCCAGCTGCCTCGGACTCCTAGTACTTTGTATGTAGCTTTTATAGGTGGAAAGGTGCTCATCCGAGGAGCAGCTTCATCTTGGATTCTTTCAGTCAAGTAGAGACTGTACGAGGCTTTGACTCCACAACTTGTGTAAGTGGCCTTGTCCCAGGGACCACTTGGACAGGCACAGACTCCATGAGGTTTCCTTCTGGTCCGGGAGTTCCCCCCGCCCCATGGCTTCCATGAGGTTCCATCCAGTATGGGGACCCCTAGCTTCCATGAGGAGCTGAATTGGCTCAGAGAAAGGACCCAGATCCCAGTGCCACCTTAGGTTGGAGACAGAGCTGGCTGCCTTCCAGGAGGAAGAGTATGCCAAGCAGCCAGACGGCTCGCCATTGTGGAGTTCTTTTATGTGGGTGATGCAAGCCGCTGAGGGGCAGCTTTCGTGGTCACTCTTGGTTGGAGTTGAATACACAGTGAAAATGAACAAATTCAGGCCCGTGTCATTCTGTGTGGGCTTCTTAACGGGAGCCTGTGGTCTACAGGATAGGCAGCCCTTGTGAGAGGAGGAGCACGCCACAGCTCCTGGTCCAGAACTCTCTCATTGGGTGGGCAGAAGGACCACAGCAGTTCTGGTTGCGTGAGATCTTAGTCTCACGTTTTTGAAGCTTAGTACAGGGTTGCTATGAGTCGGAACCGACTCCATGGCACATAACAACAACAACAAGACTATGAAAGGCCCCCTGGTGGTGCAGTGGTTCAGTGCTCCGCTGGGCCCCAGGAGCTTGGTGGTTTGAAACCACCCAGCAGTTCTGTGTGAGGAAAGAGCTGGAGATCAGCTTCAGTAAAGGTTCCATTCAGCAAATGCTGTGAGTCAAAAATGAGCTTAGCAGCGCCCAACAACGACAACATAGACGCCATGATAGTAGATGCTGAGGAAAACGAAAAAACGAATTATTTTGTTTCACAGCATTTAGCTGTGTGGCAAACCTCCCCCCACCCCCAGTATCTCAAGTGAATTGTTAAGTGCTGTCGAGTTGGTTCCAGCCCATAGTGACCCTGCACAAGGTTTCCAAGGAGTGGCTGGTGAAGTTGAACTGCCAACCTTGAGGTTCATATGACATTACAGTCCAGAGCATTAACCCACAGCGCCACACCAGGAATTATGGGTTACATTTTTCTTCATGTAAACAGGTAGGCCCTAGTGAATGAGCAGTGGCTAGATTTCCTTTCATCTCTCCGCATTAACAAATGCTGCTGTTTCCTGATCCCAAGAAGGCTGCCAATCTGTGCAGGTTTCAGGTGGAGACAGGGAAGTAGAAGCCCATCCTCTGACTCAGTCCACCCTCCTTACAAACCTTTGCCCAGACCTCCACTCACTTACTGCCTCTTACAGGTCACACTGGCTTGAATGTGGTCACCTGACTATCCCTGTACCCAGCAGAGGGTGTAAGGACTTTGTTAAAATTGGGCACGTTGCTGCCCTGAGAAAAATGAATGTTCTATTAGTAAGGATGAAGGGAAGGAAGTTCTTGGGGAGGCAATTAGGAGTCTCTACCACACATCTTTTAAAAGATAAGGAGGGGATTAAGTAAAGTGTGTTATGATTATGTGATGGAAATCTTGGTAGCTATAAAGAATAATGATCTTGATTAATATTTAAGGGTATGAAAAAAAGCTCATAGACTGGGGGGAAAGTATGGTAAAACCATGTGTAATTGTCTTCGTTTCCTTTGAAATATATGTAAACATATTGAAATGCTATTGATGGTCCTTACCAGGTGACAGTAATTATGGGTGACTGTTATTTTTCTTTAGATCTTTCTGGATTTTCAAGGCTTTCAACAATTGGCACTTACTGCTTTTATAATCAGGGAAAAATTGGCAAACTTAAGTATAAGGCATAGAGAACCTGGTAATTACCGACACATATATGAGATATCCTTGCTGGAAGGAAATAAAGTGAGTAATAAAGGGGAAATCTTGAAGCGTGTAGAGATAATGGAGTGATAACTAGTCGCCGTAGCACTGTAGGACTCAACAGGAACAGATCCCATCATACTAATAAGGTAAAATGAAATAATGTGCACAAATCCCCATTGAAATGGAAAGTAGTACTCTACAAATGCAGACACTATTCTAAGGGGCTCTAAATGTACTTCAGAAATGTTCACCATTCTCTCCAGCATGCCTTTAGGGTTATTCAGTAGCAGTGGAAGCATTGGGCATGTTAAGCTTTGCCTTTCTCTTCCCTGTTAACAGCTGTTTACCCTCTTAGTTGTAAATACTTGTTTCTGTGAGGGAATCTGTAAGTACCGGAAGTGATGTCTGCCTGTGATCTTTTTGGAGGGATGTGTGATTTATACACATAGAAAAGATTCACAGGGTTCAAAGTAATTTGGTCAGTATCAGATAATGTTCCACTTTCAGTCTTATCCCATTATCCTGTCAGTACCACATAATGGGGTGAAACTATGAGTAGCTTGAACATCTTGGGTGGAATGACAGGAAGTTCCAATGCAGTGGTTACTAATACTACACTAGGAAGAATGGATCTATAAGGGGGGGGAGGAGGTGTAGAATAAGAAAGTAGAAGAAAGACCTTCTTCTAGAAGGAAGCTAAGAGGTATCATTGGGAGATATACTGAGCGGATCACTCTAGCTAAAGAGAGGATCTAGAAATTGCAGTCCCATGTTCTTCCGTCTTTGGGAATAAATTACTTCCACTCTTCTCCCCTTTGTACCCATCTGTCTCTGCCCTTTCCTAAAGACGAGTAAGATTGCAAACATGACTATCACAGACTTATGAAAACAAACGTACAAATTCCAATCATTCCCATAATCTCCTAAACAAATTCATAGCCTAAAGAGACATTTTCTCATGTGTTGAACCCTGACTGATAGAAAAACTGATCAATAGGAATTATATATTGATTTCTGGGCTATTTGTGTTGAGGAGCATTAAGCACAACTGGCACATTGGTAAAGAGCTCTGTTTGTATTTAACATTTTCATTAATAACATGGAAACAAGAAGCATTAAATGTAATTTGCATATAATCTAGAATATTTATGCAGCAATATGCAAATGCTTAATAGAAAATGTATATAATTAGATGAGTGATGTTAGGAATCTTTTTATTATATTTTCAATTTGTACTTTTAAAATTGTTTTTATTTTGATGTAATTTCAGTCTTACAGAAAAGTCACGGAAATAGCAAAAAGAAATCTTATTTATCTTCACTCAGATCTCCCCAGATGTTATCTTTTTGCTACATTTGTTTGTGAAACTCTCCTTCTCTCTTGCTTTCCCTACCTACAACACATACACACATGCTGTTAGAGTTTTTTTTAACCATTTCCTAGTAACTTTTAGACATGATGTTCTTGATCTCTAAATAACTTCAGTATGTATGTCCTAAAAACAAGGCCGTTCTTTTTCTGAACCACAGAGCAATTGTAAGAGTCAAGAATTCAGTAGGATACAAGTATTAGATAATTTACAAACTCTATTCAGATTTCACAAATTTTCCCCCAAATGCCTTTTCTATGAAAAGGGAATCACAGATCCCAAGTGAGGCTCTTTTGTCTTACCTCTGGAGATTAATCTAGAACAGTCCCTCCGTCTTTCATTGCCATTTATGACCATTGAGGAGCCCTGGTGGCGCAGTTGTTGAAAACTCGGTCGGCAGTGTGAACCCAGCAGTCTCACTACAGGAGAACGATGATGTGGCAATCTGCTTCCATAAAGATTTACAGCCTGGGAAAGTGTACAGGTCAGTTCTGTCTGCCCTGTAAGGTCACTCACTGTGAGTCAGACTGACGGGAAAGCAGTAGGTGTAGTTTGGTTTGGGTTGTGACCTTCTCATGTTTGTCAAGTGCGGGACAGTTATGTTGCTGAATGTCGTCCAGTTTGGGCTTGTCTGATGTTTTGTTATGATTAAAATCAGGTAGTGCATTTTTGGTTGTAATTCCAAAAGAATCTCGTCATGTTCTTCTTCATGTTTCCTGTCAGGAGGCACATGACACTGTTTGGTCTCATAATGATGGTTCAGCTTTGATTATTAACTTTTATCGTGGCATCTGTGAGGTTGGTCCTTGGGAAAGTTACTAGTTTTCCCTTTGTAATGAGTGAGAATTTTGTGGAGAGCTACTTTGAGACTGTTTAATGTGGAATTGAACTTTTAAATGGAATTAAATTTAGAAAAATGCAAGCCAATAAAAAAAAAAATCAATACGTGAAAATATTTGGCAAAAAGCAAGTGGCGGTCATTCATGTTGATTTTTAGCTTATACATTATTTACCAGTGTTCTAGATGACTAGGTAAGTCAGTGGGCCAGGACATCAGGAGAGTGGAAGAATGTTTCCAAAAGGCCCTGACCAACTATGATGCAAAGGAGCTACAGTGAAATTTGGAGACCTGAATGGAAGGATCTAGAAGCTGTGAACCTGGACACTGTGATAAAGATGAATTCTTCTTTCATTCCTTTATTTTGGAAAGAGCTTTTGTTTTCATCAGTGTTTAAAGTGACCATCTAGTTGACAAAAGACTCGGGGGGGACCAGTCCTGGGTTGTGGGCAGGAGGAGTGTGTAAGAGTGCAGATAAAAAATAGCATTTGATGAACTTTCACTTTTTCTCTTCTAAGTCTAATGAAGAGTCTTGGCCCTTGTTCCTTGACTTTCCATCTTCTCCCTTTGTCTGAAGGGAACAAATTGCAGACAGATGTTTGTCATGGGTGATCTAGAAGGTACAGCATCATCTTCACCTTCCAGCCTTTTCTCTTACTCAGTTTGGTGGAGGACAGCCTTCTGGTACTTCTTGCATCACGCAATTGTCATGTTTTTCTTCTGTCAGTGACAGTTTTGTTGTGCCCAGTACCAGTCTCTTCATTTCTGGAGGTGATTATTCTTCTTTCATCTTAAAGGCTGTACATACAATCGGATCACGTCTCCCCACTCTTTAGGTAAAGTGTGAGGAACCTCTGAGTCTGGTGAAGTCTGATGGATGGAAGAGCCGGAAATGAATGGGATGTGGCTTGTGCACTGTGCAGAAAAACATTCCTAAAAAGACCTTTGACCTGACTCAGAAGACAGGTGTAATACCAATGTAACGTATAATGGGCATTAATGTGTTCTCTGTGGTCAAAATATAAAGTGTGAGTGGGGAGGGGCAGAAATAAGACATGAGTGAAGCTAAAAGGAAGAAAAGCTTGGAACTCTCCTCTCTAGGAAGTGGGACCCCATTGGGAGCTTGTACCTTAGACAGGTGCTGGTAGATCCCCTGGGAAAGCTGGCAGGATGTGAAGTGGAGGGAATGCTTGGAAGGTGGACGTTGAGGAGGATGATTGCACAGTGCCTGGCTTGCATCTCTAGTTGGTACTGTTGTTCTGAGTAAACGGGAGCAAGTCGGGAGCATGGATGGGTATGAAGTCAGGGTGTCATCGTTGGCATCAGCACTTTTCTTCCCTGAGTTCCCACTATTCTATATGAATACAGCACTTACTCTATACCACAGAGTCTTGCACAAAATTGTAGACTGTTTATTTAACTCATATTGTTCCAAAAAGATTTGACAGACTTGGCTGACTTCCCATTCATCTAAGCCTGTAAACCTCTTCAGCGCAGTGACCAATGTCTCACATGACTTCTGCAGCAGCCAGGCCACGATCCACCCTGGGAGAGATGCACAGAGGAACTTGTGTCTCAGTCAGTCCTACTCCTCCTTTAGGGTCATCTTGCAGGATCTCCATTGGTCCACGGTGGACTTGGGGTGAGACCCACTGCAC